AGTTACAAGTTAATATTTATAAGTTATATCTTTCATAACCTATAATAACATTTTCAAATGGATTATGCTCTTTTGGAAGTTATATCGAATTCGGTATCGTAGCCTCCCCCAAAATCTAGGCCAAGCTCTCTTTTTCATTAATAAATCATGTAAATGACTAATTAAGAACATATCGATCAAGATCGTCTCTTTTATATTTTTACTTAATTATATTTAATGGCATATCACTTATCGTTTATGCATGAGAAACTCTTTTATTAATAAATAAGTCTCATTTAAATTCATAATAAATAATTTATCATACGTTTGATATTTGAAAGGAGTTGTCTACATAGCCGGCCCTATAACCCAATAAAAAAAAGGCGCGGGTTTTAAGCCGCACATAGGTATAAGACCTCAAATTTAAAAGTTAATAATATAATAAAAATATAAATCTAACAAAAAAACTACTAGAAAAAAGTACGAGGACAAGATAACTTTAAAAACAGAAGTATATTTGAATTTTATCCCAGTCATATTTTTTTCCTCAAAATTATCATCAATCACTTACCTCACTCATCATCTCTTTGTCAAAATCAAACGTCAAATCACATCACTAATTTCTATCACATATTTAATCATTTATATATTTCATTTCTAAAAATATCACACAACTCATTTCTATCATATATTTAATTATTTAATATTTAATTAATTTATAGTTAATATATTTTGAAAAAATTTAATATAATTTGATCGATTTTTTGGATGCTCGAATTTTATATTTTATCGTGCCTTTAAGCAGAGATTATGGCTAGTAAATAAATAAATTTGAGCTTAAAACTCCAGCACACCGCACACAATCACTAGGGATATCATAAATCTCTTTCTCATATTAAAAAAAGTAGAATAATAAACCTTTCTCTAGTCTAAAAATAAAACCAAACAAAACACGTACTTTTTTAAACTCATTTTTTTCTTGTTAATACAAAACATCGACTAAATCATTCATTCTTATAAATAGTTTATTTGATAAAGTTGTTATTTGTAACAAACATTTAGGTGAAAGTTACAAGTGTAAACAAATAAAATATCATAAAAAATTAAAAGATAGTGAAATAATTCAACAAAAAGGTAATAATCAACCTATTCGATGAAGAACATACAAATATAAATAAAGCAATAAATTATATTCTTATAAATATCTATGATCAAAAGTCATACTATGAATCAAAAAACAATATGTTAGCAAAATTTGAATAAAAAAAATTTAATTAATAACTATGTATTCCAAAAAAAAAATTAAATTATTATTAAAAAAAAAAAACCTCATTAAACCTTGTCGCTTCGGGCCTCATATGCCTTGAGTTACCCCTCCATAGTACTCAAAAATATAAATTTTGTTACTGTATCGATATTTATCACTTTTATAGATATTTTTTTTTATTGTAATGAGTATTTTTACCATTGTTATAGTATACAAAAAAAATGAAAAAATAGTAACCAAAACAGTGATAAATCACACCTATAAAAATAACCACAAAAATAGTAAATTACCCACAAAAATAATAAATTATTTTGTTATAAAAATATCCATAAAAATACCCTAAAAAATAATAAATTGTAAAGATATGATACCGAATTTTTTTATTTGGTAACGTAATCAAGGCCTATTAGAACAAAATTGTCACCCAAAATCAAATGACGTATGATCTGATGTCATTTTTGGTAGTCCAACATCGACTAATGTACAAATTTTACTTGTTCTTAAACTTCTTGTCTCATTCGCTTGGTGTTGATATCTTTCCACAAATGATTATGGTAAAATAAAGGTAAAATTACACTCAAATTTTTTGAAGTTTATCACTTAATTACTTAGATCCTTTGACATCTGAAATATTATATATAAACCCTCTGAAGTTTATACGCCCCTAACATTTAGGCCCTTGCTGTAAATTTATTTGTTAATAAATTATACTTAGACCCCTATGAAGTTTATAGGTATATAATACTTAGACCACTTAAATTTAAAATATTATACTTAAATCAAAAATACTTAAATTAAAAATAAAATATCAAATATTTTTAATTTTATAATCAAAATTCATGTTCTATTGTATCATATATTAAAATAAAATTAAAAATAAAAATTTAATTTTTAAAAAAAAAATCATAATTAGTATACAATTATACTATCAATTAAAAATATTTGATATTTTATCTTTAATTAAAATATTTTTTGTCTAAGTATAATATTTTAAACTTAAGGGATCTAAGTATTATATACTTACAAACTTCAGAGGGTTTTAAGTGTAATTTATTAACTGATATATTTATATCAGGAGTTTAAGTGTTATGCGCGTACAAATTTCAGGGGGTCTGTGTGTAATATTTTAAATATTAGGAGATTTGACTGATTAAGTGACAAATCTCAAAAAATCTAGGTGTAATTCTCCCTAAAATAAATTATGATTATAATAAATAAATGATGTAAAAGTTACTTGAATAAATCTTTTTAATATAACGAATTGATGTGATTAGATTAATAATTAAATTAAAAAAAGTAAAGCATATGATGGGGTGGTTGACAAAAGCAGCAGGCAGAACAGATACATCAAACTCAAAACAGATTAAGACTGATTAGATGCACCTAATTACCTGCATTAAGTAATTGTTTATTAGATTGTGAAAATTACATTCCAAGCCCTTAAATTATGCCTATCATTTTATATTGCCCCTAAACTATTCATTTTCTCTACATTTTACCTATCTGAAGCTGGCTTCAAAATCTCATATATTTTTTTTTATTTCAGATAAAAAAAAAAAAAAAAGCCTGGTCCATTTGGATCCAGGTTTATTGGGTGACTTTTTTCATAATTTTTTTGGGTAAAACAACTTTTATTAAAACCATGGAAAAGTTAAAAAATTGGACCTATCCAGGGGCTTCCAAGGAAAAATTGATTTCTTTTAAAAATACTCTAATCAATTCCAAGAACTTTTTTAACTTGACTTTTTCTTTTTTCTTTTCAAACTTCTATTTCACACAAAAAAAGTTAATTCCAAATGAGCCCATTGTATCTTAAACATTCAGGTTAAGTTTTTCATTGCTCCAGTTGTTGACTTCTGTTAAGTTTTTATTGGAAAATCAAGGAAAAAAATATTAATTTTCTCTTATTTTTATGTAAAAATTGGATATAACTCGAGGATAAAATAATATGAAACTCGAACTAATAGTTTAAGATTAAATGTGCAAAAAATGAATAATCTAGGGGCTGATGAGAAATTAGAGGTGTACTTTAAAGATTCTAAGTGTAATTTGCTCTCGTAGATTTCGTCATGCATTACTGCATTAACTCTGTCTCTGTCCGTCTCTCTCTCTCTCTAACCGAAACAACTTTTTGTTTTTTTTTGTTAAGTTAAACCTATTTAGGACAAATTTTATTAATAACAAAATTATAAAGAGAGGAGAGGATATAAACCTTTTTCTTTACATAATAAAAGAACTTTAAATACAAAATAAAATATTACTTTTTTCAAATAATCCAGCTGAAAAATAGTAATAAAAATGCTAAAAAAGAGAATGCTAGAATAATAGTGACCGCAGGAGACCTCGTCCAGCAGAACCGATCCATAAAAAATTAATAACAACTTGACATGCCTTTTTTTACCAAAAGCAGAAGTGGAAATCTTGTTGACTCTCAGAGTATCCCCTTCGACCTCACCACTATACTGAAAAGCAATATCACACAACGCACGCTTTCTTTTTCTCTCTCTCATCATTCTTTTATAGTGAGCAGAAACCATCTTACTCTTGTCTTTGAAGCTAAACATCTTTCATCATATGTTAATATGACTGGGTTTTCAATCAATTTCTCAAATGGGTCTTCTTGTATTTGCTATTTCTCTCAACTCTTACAGTAAGTTCGAGGTTTCTTGGCAATTAATTTGTTTCTTGAGTGAAATATGTGATTCTCTTATATAGGTTTTATGAAGGTTCAGCTTTTAACATTCCTGTGATTATCTGTGGTATATATGTTTTCTATATCTTCATATGTATGAGTGGTTTCAATGATATCTTTGCTATTTTCAGGGGCTAGAACTTGAGGGTTTATGCACTTTTTTCCCCTTTTCTGTTGTTTCTTCTGATATGCTAGTGCTGAGTCGAATGAAATTTTGTTAATTTTAGTGTATTGGTTGCGATTTACTTTATGTTTAATGTTATGTCCAATTTGGTGAATTACAGCTGGAGTTAGCTTCTGGGTTGAACTAAAGCTCAGCTTTAAGGATGTCCATGGTTTTCACTTTTAATTCAATCTTTCTTTCTAGCAATGATTCCCAAAAATCTTGTTCTTTTGGGTTATAGTTGATGGTAGTTTTTCATTTCTATCTCTACTACAGAACCGGACACGAGTCGTGTGGTCATTGTATATTTATAGATGAACGTTTGAATATCTTCTTTCTTGATAGGAGGTTGTGTAATTGAATCTTCTTGATACTTGGCTACGAAGGGTATGCAGGAGGGGTATTACTCTTTTTCTTTTTTTTTCTGTTGGAACTGAAAAATATAATAGTTATAGCCGAGGCAAAAGGCATTTAATGGTTCTGTGTACTGATGTTTTTATGTTGATTATCCAGTAAATTGAGACTGTTAACAATTTACAGTTCTTTGTCTCCCAATTATGTGGGGGGTTTGCAGAAACTAAAGCTGGAGCTAGATTCTGCAATGAAGTGCATGGTAGGCATAAATTTAACGTTCTGAATGTGGCAGTGTTTTGCACTGTAACATAATCTCTTCAACTTTAGTTTCGCTCCGACGTTGGAATCTTGTAAGTGTTTCAAAGGAAAGATAGATTTGGTGGTTGATTCCCCTACAAGAATTACCAAGTTTTATTTCTGTTTTTTTNTTGTAAGTGTTTCAAAGGAAAGATAGATTTGGTGGTTGATTCCCCTACAAGAATTACGAAAGTTTTATTTCTGTTTTTTCGGAAAGTAACTACGAGTAGGTATTAATGGGGTGGGACATGAAATCTGCTTCTACATTAGATGATATTTTAGTCCCTAATAGAGAAGCAGCTGAGAGAATGGAATTAACGGAATTTTGTTTCCCTGGCATGATGAGAAAATCAGTTCCTGGCAGTGTTGAGATCAGTAATGAACCTACGAAAAGTGTACACTCTCCTGCTTGTATTATGACTTTGAATTCCTTCTTTGAGGAACTCGAATCTGATCTGAGGCTTTCCAGTCCCGTCATTGAACCTGACAGTCAGAAATGGGCGACAGTGGATTTGAAGTTGGGGAAGCTAACTGGTTGGAAGGGAGACAAGACCACTCGATTTTCAAATGAAAGGGTGGTGGTGTCTTCTGAAGGATCTTCATTGCTGGGAAAGAGAGTGCGCACAGAAAAATTGTGTGTTCAGACTCCTGTTTGCCAAGTTCATGGATGTAACAAGGATCTATCCTCCTCAAAGGACTACCATAAAAGGCATAAAGTTTGTGATGTGCACTCAAAGACTGCTATAGTCATTGTTAATGGCATTGAGCAAAGGTTTTGTCAACAGTGTAGCAGGTATTACCACTGCTCTCTGGTTCACTTTGTTTCCCTTAGCTTATGTTCAGAATATTTTGTAATTGTATCATGTATTAAATGACAAATTCTTCGTTCTCTCATTCTATTATGAAATTAAGTTGTAGAAATTATCCTAGAAAGATAGAAATGATTTTTGACATTTGTCCTCAGTTTTGGAAAGTCCTGTTTTTCTTTCAAACCTGTACAAAAATGCATATTAGGAACCGAAAGAAGAGAAATCCCTTGAATACACGGTAGCTATGAAAATGGACCAGCGGATGTGATGGCTGATGACTCAAGGTTACAAACATTGGAAAACTATTAAGAGACTACTCTTCCCCTTAGAAAACCCGGACAACCTGATATTTGAACAGTACAATGAATGAAATAGTCATTTTTTATGAAGCTAATATTGTAATGCTCCCGTCACCAATAGTTGAACTCTTGAATATACGTAGCTGGTGTCTAGCAGAATAGGCCATTCCAATCAGTCTTAATAGATGTATCTTGACAGGCCTTGTTTAGACTCATATAACAGCAGCCAAGGTTTTGGGATTGCTTGCATTCAAGTAGGTTTTATTTGCTCCATTAATTATCCTTAACGATGATAACAAGTCTTATTAATTCATACTTTTGATTTCCACCTTACATCGGTGTGAATGTAGATCCTAGTAATTTTCCTTGTTAATGTTGACCCAAGGTGGGCTATCCTTTCACCATTTAATACAATGTTTACCAGGTTCGTAAGACTATTAAGCTCAATGCAAGTAGTTAGCTGTTTTTTTATGGTATGGCTTTTATTAACTTTTTACTACCCAGGTTTCACTTGCTGGGTGAATTTGATGATGGTAAGCGCAGTTGCCGCAAACGCCTTGCAGGCCACAATGAACGCCGGAGAAAGCCTCAGTTAGGTATTCCGTCTGGGAAACCAATGAAGTTGCTTCAATACTATCCAGGTATCAACTTTTGTGCTCTACAATAGGCCTCAAAATTGGAAGTTCCTTCGATCTCTTTGATGTAATTATACGAGTGAAAGTAAGTAAAAGATAATGGTTATTTATGGTCAGGAACATCTACTCTTTGAAACTCAGAAATTTTAAGCTAGAATGACATGATCTATGGGTATTGAATAATTGAATTGTATACTTTGGAACCCAAAAAATTTAGTTGTTTACCATCACTTGTGTATTGTTGTGTGCATTTTTAAATGCAACTTATTCTCAATAGCTTCTAATGGAACTAAGAGCTTAGGGTGTAGGGTCGGACTAGACAAACACGCCATGCTTAGCCCTCTGGTTCTCATTGTTGAAATGTCTCCTTACACTGTGCAATTTGCTTTTGGCGTAGAACAGAATATAGTTTTAACAAAACATTGCACGTGTGGCAGGTGCCAGGTTTCTGGGATCTTCTTTACCAGAAAGATCATCATCTGTCTTCCCGAACATACCTCCTGGTGGTTTCCTTTGTCCAGAAAGATGTGAAAAAGGTAATCAATGCAGGCATATCAAATTAGATGAAGACAAAATTTACAACCCTCCATCCGGATTGCCCATTTCAAATGGACAGGCACTCCCAAAATCCTTCCTTGATCTGCATTGCATTGGAAACCAATATCCTTCAGAAAGTTTTTCTTCAATTACTCACTACCCTAGTCCTGATATGGCATCAAGTATTCAAGAATCATCTGGGTTCTCAACCTCAAGGAGTGCTCTCTCTCTTCTGTCAGCTGAATCAAGAGGTTTTTCTAGTCATTCTACTGATATGCCAACAGCTGTTCCTTTGATTGTCCAAGGTGAGCTTAATGCTCACCAAGTTTTAGGCCAAAATTCTTCGAATCCTCTATGTATAAGTGTTCTCGAAAATTATGTGCCAAATGGGTTCTTCTCATCTGGAATGGACTCTGCACTTGCCAATGTAGGGCCTCCAATGCTCCCTGATAATGGCATTTCTGTCAACTTTGAAGTCCAGAAGGGTGGAATTTTTCCACGATCTGATGCTATGGATTCTAAGTATTGTCTCTCTCCCGAATCTGGGCCCACTGTTGATTTGCTTCAATTGTCAACACATCTGCAAAGAGTGGAGCAACACAGGAATTATGTGCAAGTGAAGCAGGAAAATGACATCTTTTGCTGTTCTTCTATCACTTAAAGATTATGAAAGAAAAAAGGTTAATGAACATTTTCACTAGAATATTCTCTTACCTTTTTCCTTTCTTTTTTTTTTCTTCAGTAATTTCCTTTTTCTTTTCTGTCATGCTCTAAAAGTAGAAATGTCTTTCCAACTAAATTAATCATAAATTACAGAGTCAATGGCTGAAGCAAGAGTCAATGGAAGTGGATGTGAAAATGAAGCATTAGAAGAACAAGAAACTAAATTTTGAAAGGAACCATATGGCATGGTTAAAATTTAAAGGGTGAGGAAGAGAAACAGTGCACATGTGTTGTTTAGTTGAATAACTTTACCAACACAACCAACTATAAATCCGTTGTTTAGGGAAAGTTGATTTTTATATTTTTTTTTGGGTCGGAGGGGGAAACCTCAAATTATTGTTATTTGTTATGCTAATGTATGTTATACAGTGATTTCCACCAACATTTACATAGGAAAAACTCTGAGATATGATAAATGCAACTGAACGGATAGAAACATATATTCTGATATTCTGGGCTCTGTTGTTATTGATTTTATGTCAACTTCTACAAATAGGTTGAAATGATTATATGGGCTACATTCATTTCACTGCAGGTTATTGGGAGGCTGCAACCCTCCAAGGGGTTGGCTCAGTAGCATATATTCCTCCTCAAAAGGGGAGAGACTAGAGAGAGAGATCACATGATCAAAAGTCGATCCTCAACCCCTCGGAAACATCTCCAGCATCATTTGGGTAGATTATCGTGGAAACAGAAAATATTTTTGGGTACAGTAATTTGATGCTGTCATTTTTGTTTCTATGGTATACTGAAGCATGCGACTGTTCACGGGAACAAAAAAAAAGAGAGACATACTGCAGCATGCGTGTGTAAATATTCGTCTTTGGTCTAACTGATATGGCTGTATTGAGCCATTCTTAATTCTAGGATCATAGACTTTGCCAAGGTCGTTTAGGGGGAGTTTACAGTTGATAAATAAGAAATTAAGAAAGTGGACATTCGCCTTTGTCGAAAGTTCATGTCAGCTTTACATCTGATTGACTTTGGTGTATTAAAATGGGGAGTGACCTTAATTATATGACTGTAACTTTGCTGCAAAGATGACTCTTTTCATGTGTATGTGCAGGTGCGTCACCCTGTGCTCTACTTTAATCTTCATGTTGAGGTAGTTTGTGGCGTGCTAAAGCATGTCTTTGAAAGCAATCATTTGTTTAAGAAACTAATATAGTATCTTATCCTAGTCTTTCCTCACTTTGCTTTCTCTTGGTGCCCTTTAGCATGTACTTCTATTTGATATGCTCTCTCTCTCTTTCTCTCTCTCACTCACAGAGGTAGGCATGTCAATAGATTTGAATTCAAATACGATTAGAATCTTTTACCAATATGAATTAATATTTTTTACCGATAATTCGAATCTAAAATTTTATATTTCATGTATTGGATTTGAATGTACATATATTCGATCCGAGTTATTTATATATTTTTATATAAATATTAAAAGAATTAAGTGATTATTTTAAAAAAAATTTAGGTATAATTTGTTAAAATTTAATTAGTTAAGTTCTTTGGATCGGATTGGATTTTTCAGATTGTTCACGAATTTAAATATGAACCATGAAAATAAAGTTTATCGAGTTATCAGATTGAATTGGAATTAAACTTTTGAAATCGAATCCAAATTTGGATCAATCATAATCCGATTTAAACACGATCCGTTGACAAGCCTNTCACGAATTTAAATATGAACCATGAAAATAAAGTTTATCGAGTTATTAGATTGAATTGGAATTAAACTTTTGAAATTGAATCCAAATTTGGATCAATCATAATCCGATTTAAACACGATCCGTTGACAAGCCTGTCCTACCAAGTGATACCTGTACTTTGTCAAGTCTTAACCCACCCAAAAAAAATAAATTGTTGCATGAAAGGACTTAGTTTATATGTAGTATGAGTCTCTTAAATGTATTCATTCGCTTTGTAGCCAATAACAGCCTCATTACCGACCAAAATTTTCATACCTACTGATAGCGTGCGAGGTTTGGTCATTTCAGTAATACGAACTAATTCAATGATTGTGATGAATTAAGTTATCAAATTATATGAGTAAATTAAGTTTAAATAGTGTTATTATTTTTTAATAAAATCTCACCTACTGCGAATGCATAATGATGAGTTACCCACTTTTAAATAGTGAGCTTTACTTGGGATTTTTTTATCGATTATTTACTATTAAGAGAAATTAAGCAAATGAAGGCCGAAGAGGATTTTAGTTTCAGTTTCAATTTCAACTTGGGACCTTTTGATGTTTTTATGCTAAAATTAAAAGAGTAATTGACTTATTTTATAAGCAACAAAAAATTAGAACAACTTCTACAAAAATATTCAAATGAAAAAAAAAACAAAATATTAGGGCTGATAATAAAAGAAAGGAAGTCAGGGCTACGTTTGAGCATTACTGCGTAGACCTAATTTATTGATTTAAATTTGTAGATTTAATTACTCATAATTATTGGATTGGCGGTGGTTTCCAATATTCGTTGGGATTCATGATCAATTCAATAGTTTATGTTTTGATCATTTTGTAATAAACGATTTTAATTGGGGTGACACTGTCATTTAATAAATATCATGGTATGGTCGGAAAGTAAATCTAAATAAAATAGGAAGATGGTGTGGATTTTTTTTTTGGGTTACATAGGATTTAGAGAACTGTTGAAGATGCATGTCCAACAAAGTCGTTGTAGTATAGTGGTAAGTATTCCCGCCTGTCACGCGGGTGACCCGGGTTCGATCCCCGGCAACGGCGTAACCATTTTTGTTTCACAATCATTTTGGATCTAAAAGATCCTCAGCGTCGCCTTTTAACCGACCTATCATATCCACACCGTTCAAATTGAGCTGTAAAGTCAAAAAAAATAGCCTTAATATGTATCGCCAAACACTGAATCATTCCACAACTGATCTGAGGAACCTTCACCATTTTTAAATTTTCTCTCACAACATTTTGCTCGTTGGAGGGAAGACCAAAAACACCATTTTCTTTCCCGCCATTTAAACGCCTCTCTGTCTCTCTGCCTCTCTCTCACTCTCACAGAGACACACACACACACACACACACACACACACACACACAAAGAGTGTTCAGTTCAATGGAGAAAGCTGACGAGGAGAAATCGGACGGTCTGGAGATTATCTCAGTAGGAACGCTATACAGTGGCCCCTGGGACAAGAAGTACTGGAGCTCGTCTAGGGTTCGTTTTCCATTTCTGTCTCACCTATATTTTAACAAAATCAATACGAATACGTCTATGTGTGTGCGTTTTCGTGTGAAATAATAGTGATACTAAAAAATATTCATTGATATTCATCGGAAGAGAATGTGTTTGCCATAAAAAGTCACTAATATCGTAAATTTGAACTTTTTTATTCGAGGGCGTCATTGAAGCTTTTGATTGATTGATTGAGAACATATATGCAGCAGTTTGTTTGTGTTTAACGGTGGGGGGCAAATGTAGGAGGTTGAGTTTTTGGAGTGTATATACATTCTGCTAAAAAGTTTGGGATAGTTAACTACAGCATTAAATTTTGAGATAGATGTCTTGCAATTGAAGCTGGGATCAAGTTTAGGGCAAAATAATGGCGTATCTGATGGACATATTGATGAACCTGAAATAACCAAATATTAGACTAAAAAAGGTGAACAAATTACCTGAATGGGGAATTTAAGGGGTCGGGTGACGAATTATTTCTCATGAATCATGGTGTGCTCAAATATCAGTACAAGAATCAGTCAATGAGATGATATAAGCTAGCCACTGGAATCTGGGAGCTCTTCCTGTTAATGGAACATGTTGGTTGTATGTCATATTAGTGTTGGTTTGTAAGCTCTCTCCGGCCCTTTCTTTCACCCACCATTCAGGTAATCACATAATTATTTGAGAAATTATAGGCTATTTGGAAATTCAAATAATTACGAAAAGTTATTGGAAATTAAATCTAAGTTTTAAAAAAATAAATAAATAAGTAGTGGTTAGTTAACATGAGAGTGGTAGGGTAGTTACAACTCACATGAGCCAGATGTTGTATATTGATTGGATGAATAGAATTAATAAATCTAAATTCTTGAAAATTAGGAAAGGAGGAGGGAAGGCTTCTCAAGGCCTTCTCCCCTTAATTTGATTGTTATAGTAATATAGATATTGATAGATAGATGTCATTTGGAGAGTGGTGGCAAGATTGACTACAAAATGGTGCGCCACTACAAAATTAGGGAAAAAAGTAGAGGACTAGTGAACTAACATGGTGGGAGAGTGACTAGAACAAGTGATACTGGATTTTAGTGATTCCTTAAACAATCATGATGTTTGCATTCCTAAATTGTTGGTGCAAGAGAAACCATTACCATGACATTGAGCTAAAAGAGACTTTATTTAAAACTCATGGTAATAGCTTTAGCATTTAAATGACAGGTTGGTGAGGCTTTGTTTCTACGTGACTTGAGTGTCTCAATGGATGAAAGTTGGGCATGAGAGGACAATGATGAAGATATTGACAGCAGAAAGAATATTTTGATGTAGGAAATCATAGAATGATGTTTATTTTTTGGGTGAAGTTGGGGTATGTTATAAAAAGAACAAAGCTTGCTGATGTAGATAGCTTTCCAATTTCTGGAAAAATGACATCTCTTTCTCAGTATTTATTAATAAACATCCTGCCAATCCCTCTTCAGATATTGTACCTGCAGGGAATGTAGCTTGGTTTTGGTTACTTCCTTTTGTTGAAGATAACTTTGAAATCCTGCAGATGTTTTAGTGTTTCGATCTGACCATCAGAATGATTTATTTAGCAAAGCAGTGGCTGCTTTTGTTCAAGAATTTGTTTTGAGTTAGGTCACAAGTGGAGTGGGGTTAAGTTGTAACAAAAGTTTTGTCTCTTCTTAGAATTAAAAACACTAGCATTTTTTGTCCAAAATCCAAGGTATCTTTAAAAATCTGGGGTGCAGTTTTGTCATTCAATCATGATTGCTTCCCTTGAAGATTTTTGCCAGTATTTTAGTTGCAACAAAAGGGCAGTATAGTGGATGAGTCTCTCGTTGCTGTGAGGTTTGGGACGGGTTAGATATAACCAGCCTTTCAGGGACATGCTGAAAAGTTATTTCACTGTGCCAAGACCCAAGTTAATGGCCGGTGCGTGCAGATTAAAAAGTAGTATTTCAGCTGCAATGCTCCCAATAATGAACGTGAATATTAAGCTAACTTAGAATAGCTTTTTGATTTAGTGAGCTAACATGAAAATGAAGAGTTTGTGTGGTAATTAAATTTTTGATGAGGTCCTGTTCTTTGCCTTGAGGAATATGGCTGTTTACATATGACTGCTGTCTCTCCCACAATACATGTTTCATTTTACTTCCACAAGGCATAATTTTTGTTGTTTTGCAGGGTAAAGATCGCTATCCTTATCCAGTTGGATACCAAGCTTTGCGGACATACAGTGGGACAACATATAAAATGGGAATCCTTGAAGGTCTTAAAGGCCCTTTATTTACGGTGCGTTGGTAGGGTCAATTTTTTTCTGCTGCTACTCTTAACAGCTTTTTATTGCAGTATTTCTAGTGATATTTACAAACTAATCACTTATTTTGATGCAGATTAGTTCTACTGATGGGCACTCGTGTTCTGGGCAGACTCCAGATATTGCATGGGAAAGCTTTCAAAAGAAAGGCTGTCCTCGCATGAAGTTGTGGCATGGGAAGAGATTCTCGTGCAAGATAGATGGTGTGGAGGTACTCTGGTGCCCATTTTTAGTAGTTGGCATTGAAAAATCTGATAATTGTTTGTTTATTGTTTGTAGTTGGTTATTGTGTCTACTATAATTGGCTATGAACTTTGTGATGGAATATTAGAAGCCATCATGGAATGCCTTTGAACTTTGGAATACAATATTAGAGGCCGTCATGGCATTGGTCACGATTAATCTGAGCATCTGAACGTTGAGATAGAAAAGTTCCTCCAAGACCTGTCATTTTATGAGTTGAGCTACAAAATGCTTTTATGCTGAACTTTGACCTCCACCGATAAAATTGGCCAACATGGTCATGAAGCTCTTTAATATGCCCATCCTAATGTTAGTCCAAACATTGGACACCCATGCATAAATAAACCCCAAATCAATTTCTTGATTCAAACCAGATGAGATTGCCAACAATCAGTTGTGAATTACATAATATGCTTTTACTCTTTGGCTGTAAACTAGGCCACACATCCCATTACACAGTGACATTCTTCAAGTGTTCCCTTTTCCTTGTAGCACCTTTTGATTGAAACATATTCTTCTTTTTATAATTGGACCAAATCATCCTGCTACCCACCAATGCAATTCTAATCTCTCATTAACATGGTTATTTATAACTTCCATGTAGCACCTTTATATCGAAACATATTCTTCTTTTTATAATTGGACCAGATCATCCTGCTACCCACTAATGCAACTCTAAACTTTCATTAACATGGTTATTTATAAGTTGCTGATTTGATCACTTCTATATCTAAGTCCCACTGTAGAGAAATACACACAAGAATGGTCATTTTGAATCTCATGGAGATGTGTACCTTGTGGTTTTGCCCTGAAATGTCTGTACTCAGTACCTCCCTGACTTCATGGTGAGAACACGACTTTGCAGAAGCTTTTAATGAAAAGCATAGTTATGATTTTTCCCTACATTAAAAGGCAGTTATTCTGTTTGTCTTGTTTCTCTGGCCATAAATATTTGTCACAAGACAAAAAACAATGCAAATAATTTTAGGAGCTTGAGCTTGTATGACTTGGTCCAAAAATGTACAAATGTCTGATGAAAAGCTGTTCACCTTACAACTTTCTAATTTTGATGTTATTTATAAGCTTTGTTTTTCCCCCTTTAAAAGCTCTTTCCTCTCATGTTTAGTTAAATGTCATTTGGACTACATTATGGACAACCTGTGACCGTATCAATTCATGCCAAGTCGACAATTCCATGTAATTTGCTTAAGGCTCAAGCATATTAATTGATATCTTTTCTTTTTGGGGAGCTCATGCGGTTTCCATGTTTACTTAACAACCTGTTGTGCTGTAATTAGTTCTTAACTCTAAAAGCTTTTTAGTTTATATTCATTTCAAGATTTATGGTGTTTGATCCTGGAGTCATTTAAACAGAGAATATTGCTATTTTGTAATGTCACAAAATCTTTGTAGAAGCACAATATGAAAGGATTTACAACTCTCACCCACCATATCAGGCTAAATTTACTTCCTTCCCTATGCATGTGACAGTTTTTCGGATTCAAGAACCCGTTTGTGCGGAGGTTACTTCGGGATTTGGTGGCTAATGTCAGCAGAACTTCTGAAAAGAGTTCACTTTCTCCTGGCATTTGCAGTGGAGCTTCTACTCCCAAGCCTTGTCCTCCATGCACAGAATCATATCAATACCCTGATCTGCTCCCATATTTGGAAAAACCACACTTTACAGGGAAGAGGAGTAGAAAAAGCATTAATGTGCAATCATGTAGCCTGACACCCCTTAAAAGACTTCGACCTCCAGGTCAGATGCATAAGGCTGATGCTACAAATATTGGACAAGGGATTCAAAATGATCGGAATTCCTCAACTTTCTCTACTACAAAGAAAGAGCATGGGGATTGTGATGGTCCAGGAGTTTTGCCAGGATCAATAAACTTGGAAACTGTAGTTGATGAAGTAAATAGTTCATTTGTGGCAGAAGAAGGAACACACTTGGATTCATTTGGTTCTCGTGATGATCCCGAAGTGGCAATTCTCCTTCCCCAAGAAGACAGCAAACTTATTAGTTCTACAACTGCAGAAGAAGCTAAAAACTTGTCCAAAGACGAAAAACTTGTAAGAGTCACTGTAAATCATTTTTACGTACTTCTACTGTTACTTTCCTTTTTGATTAAAGTTTATGGTTGACAGTACGTTGCGATTTGTATAGGGGCTACCTTCCTATAGACTAGGGATCTTGTGAAAATAGTACCATCCTAGACTATATCTTTTCAGGATATTAAGATGGCCAGTGCTCTACTTTTCTTTCTTTTTTTCTTCCTCTTTTCTTCATCAAGTATTTGACTGAAATGTGTATAAAATAGCTTAAAAGTTTGTTTATCGGGCAATGTTCTTAATCTCTCACAGCTTGATAGGTCCAAAGTTAATGAGATGCAGGGTTACAGTTCCTTGAAGCTCATAGAAGAGAAAGTTGAAGAAAAAACAGTGCCGATTGATTCACAAAAAATCAACAATGTGGATATTCGTGCACCTGATACTTTGGATCACCAAGTAGGTATAATCTAATTATCCACAATCTAACTAAACTATACTTAGATGGATTCTCTTTCTCAAATTTTCCCTTTTCGGTGTATTTCATCATCTGTATCTCCACTCCCCTCTTATTTTGTGAGTGGCCTATTTGTGTCCAGATGATGCTTCTGAGATTGAGTCTTCACTGAATATCACAGAGGCAAGTCCTCACAATGGGAAAGATGAGTTAATTGCCTCGTATATGGTTGTTTCTGAGGTTCTGGATTCCGAGTCACATCCAGAAGAAATCGGCACATCTAGTTCAAATGCAGGTTCTGAAAAGAGTGATTTTGATTCAGTTGGTCAAGAAATTACCAAGTCGATGATGACAGTTCTGCTTCCTCGAGCACTTCCTCTGCTAAAGAAATTCTCAAGAAAGAAGAAAATTACCACCAACCATTCAGATAGTTCTATCCATAGGGTGAGATCTCCGGAGGAAAATAATGGAACTGACATCTGTCTTATTACATCTCCTGGTAATGTGAACCTTTAAGCCATTACATCTTTTCAATTAATACTGTTGTAATGTCTGCTAAAGTGCATCTTTGGCTCTGTCATTCTTTAGGTTCGCTAGATACCCATTTTTCTTCTGACTAGGTTGTAATTTCCTTTATTGCAGCTGGAACACTTACTGAGGATTCTAATGAGGAAAGGAAGAAGGAAAAGATGCTGGTTCAAAGTACAGAACTTGTTTCAGTCAGCACAAGTTGTGGACATATAACGGCTGTTGTTCCTGATAGTTTGGAGAATGATCAATGCAGTTATCCAATGAGTATTCAGCTACCACTGCCTGATGTTTCTGAAGCTGATCGAACTACAATTGCTCAAGGCACATGCTCATCAGAAAATGTGAGAGTTCCGGTCACCGTTGATGCACAGGAGTCATCAGTTTCTCATGCTGAGACATGTGATTCCAAATTAAGTGCCTCTCATGAGGTACACATGGCTTCAAATGAACGACCTCAAAATGGTGAGTCTCATATCTCAGTCTGCTTATTCAGTAGGTCAGATATACCTTGGCAAAAAAGGTATCGGGAGTAATTTAGGTGAGAATCTTGTACGCCTTAAAATCCATTTTGAGCAAAAGGACGTCAAAATCTGGCTTAGTTGTAGTGAAGCTATGGTCATGGATTCACCTTTTGTTCATCAGCTTGAACGAGAACTCTGGTGTTATCACTCATAAATGAACAACCAAACCTGTTCAATGTTGCCATGTGAATCATTTCAAAGAGCCAAAAATTCATACTCTTGATTTCTATCTCTTCCCTTTTCTTTGTACTTATTCAAATTCTGATTTTTAAGGAATGCAAAGGTTTGTATTATGCAGAATCATTATACTAATGTTAATTCCTATCAAGTTACTTCTTTTTTTGTTTTTCTATTACTATCAACTAAGGAAGATATTATTTGTGTTTTAGCAGCCGTAGTTGCTGAAGGTAATGGCGCTAACTTACTGGTCATGGAGAGTTCTGTTCAAATACCACAGAAGGAAGTTACTGTCTTGGCAGAGGGAACTAGCAATGGCAATACAGTCTCTACTAAACTTCCAAGTGTTGCTGCTTCATCAAGCAAATCCAATGCTCCTCTTTCAGAAAGTATAATTTGCAGAAATCCTGAAACTCTTTGTGCCAGGGAAACATGTGTTTACTCAAGAACGGTCCTTGCTTCAGATAATTGTGTAGTCAGCTTATCTGGTCACTGCCCAATTGAAAAAGTCCCATCAGGTGGCAATGCCATGGTTCACAAACAACTCCACAGCTCTAACACCGCTAAAAGTTGCATGAATCCTGAAGGTGCAACTAGTAATATGGCTCCTATTACATCTCATATTCAGGAGTTCATTTGGGCTTCAAACAGCAATGTCTCTTCAGGCGCCCCCTATCCATCTATATCATGCATTGAAAAATCTCAAGCCTATGTTGGCAAAGGGCCGCTCAAGCATCAACATGTTGTTAGTTATGGTAGTCCTATATCCCAGTTGCAAAATCAGGGGAGAAGTTTCTTTAGCAATATGACTGGAAACAAGGAACTTAAAGATGGTCCAGAGTCTTCAGACTTTAATATGCAACCGAACACAGAAAATAAAATTGACCTAGAGGGAATTGTTCAGCTTCTGGGTTGCTATGTCCACTCCATGCCAATTTTATTTGTGGTGTTGTGCAAAAAAGCGAATGAAATTTACATTTGTGTTTTGTGTGGCCTTTTGGTGGACAAGGAAAGAACCCTGTTTATTTACAATGCACCAACCGAAGGAAAAAGTTTAGGATGTCCTTCCCTTATTGGTCATGCATCATTGATGTCACCGGCTTCAAGAGATGACTTTGACAGAGAAGTCAGTCAAATGATCCATTGATTTTTTGAATTAGTATCTATACTTGATTATTGCATATTATGTGACACATGCTTCCTTTTGCCAGATTCCATTGGATGAATCTTGTTTGCAGTTCACTCCAGATGGACAGTACCTTGTGTTACTGAGCAGTATAAAAGCTCCTTCCTGCAGGTTGAATCTTTTTATATGGCTTAAGTTTATAATAATGTTTTTATATGCAATTTAGATGATGAATGAAGTACTAATTCCCTTTCATGTTCCCAGGGAAGGGAAACTTCATTGTGTATGCTCTGCATGTACATCAGATTGCTTTGAGAAGAATGCAGTAAAAATTGTCCAAGTAAAACTTGGTTATGTTTTGGTTATTGCCAAATTGAAAACAGCTGATGTTGTTCGTTGTATATTAGTTTGTGAACCTAGTTGTCTTCTTGCTGCTGAAGAGAGTGGGAGACTGCACCTATGGATCATGAACTCAACATGGAGGTGATTTTCTTGAGATTATGCCTTTCTAGATTCTATTTTCTGCTTTCCTTTGGTGAAGCATTCTTTTAAATTTCTAATATTGGCAAGTTGGTTGTATTTCCGTAGGCCTGTTACCATTGATGATTGAAAATCTTTGACCATGGAGGTTCCCTATTAAATTGCATTCACTTCAATGCATGGTTCCAGGCAGGTCATTCTCAATATCACCCTGCCCCAACCCAAAAAAGGAAGAAATGAAAAACAAAAAAATTTTGAAGACACTGCACACTTTGAGGCTACATTCATTGAACTAAACATGATTTGCTGCCCCTTGCACAGTCCTGTTGGTGTTCGCTTTTCACATGTTTAAATGAACTGCTTTCAAGGACTGAACCCTGCTACATGGTTTAACCTATGTCTAATGGCTCAATCTCAACCAGTGAGAAAGGAATCAAGTATTCATTCAGATACAATCTAAGTGACATAATAATCTTGTTTAGATTAATTATATTACAAATTTTATAGTTGATACATCAAATTTCCTATAACTTTCAAGGGGAGCTTGGGTGACGACATGTGATGATCTGCATGTTGAGTATTGATAAAATTATTTTTGTATTCATCATAGTAACTGTGTTAGGAGTTTCTCATACAGTATTTGAGGATATTTTCCGTGTTCCCATTGTTGTTAACCTGGTTGTTTTACAAACTATAATGACCTCATTTGTGATCCAATGTTCTCTCACATGAATTATAGCAATTGGTTTGTTTTTGTTGATACTAATGTTGCTTAGTGCAATTATCCATTCCTGTCATGATAAAGTTTTATCTGCTTTCTAATTCCCACCTGCAGTGCAGTGACTGAAGAATGCTATTTACCAACTTCTGATTGCATGCCTCCGATTATAGTGGAGTTGAAGAGAATTCCAAAGTGTGCTGCTCTGGCTGTTGGTCATAATGGGTTTGGGGAATTTAATATATGGTATGCTGCCTTCCACATTTTGAGGATTTCTGCTTACATGTCACAGCCTTTTATCTGCACATATTATGTTTCCTGATATCATAATTTATCCTCTATGCAATTTACACTCATTTTTTTGCAGTTTTATCCAAATGCTTAAGTTTTTTTTTATCCATGATCACATTTGCCTTCAGTTTTAGCGCAGCATTGTAGAAACTTTCATGCCTGGTTTTTCCTCGATGACGTTGAAATCTTTTTTGCCCTTGTTGCCAATGCCAGTCAGTAGAATGAGCTATTTTCATAGGTTTCACTATATTACTGGATGTTCTATTGAGAATGAACTGAAAAATGACTACTACCATAAATTCAAGAACATTGTAAGTTTTACATGCAGGCAACTTGTGGACATTGTACAGTCACCCGACTCATACACGGGTAGTTTGTTGAATAAGTTACCAAAGCTAAGGGTTTTGAATTTCTGGCAGCATCGAGTTTGGTCCTGTTTGTAATTGAAACAAACATATACATAAAAAAGAATAACAATTGCTCAAATTCAGAGAAGGAATGTATACTGAAACTTGTTTACTGGGAATTGCTGGAAACAAAGAGGAAATGATTTGAATTGAAATTAGTGAGATGACATTCAAATGAATTGTTGGAATTCTAGACCTTAAGTGTGTATAAAGCTACTTGCTCGTGTCTTTAAACTGTGAAGGAGGAACAGCTTTTCTCAAGCAAAATATCTTCTAGAATACTTTATTTCTTTGTCTCACTAATTGTGAATCACAGTTGAGGAGTCTTGGCCTGTAGAGTTCTTTTTGGAAGTTAACTTGGCCAAACTAATTTACCCTAAAAGCATTTGTTTAACCTATTGTTTGTTTCCATGGGAAGGAAAAACATAGAAAAATTAGATGAATAAATAATAGAAAAATAGAAATTAAAAAAAGGGGTAGAATTCTCCACCTGCTGGATTGTTAAACTAACAATATTAACAATTAGTAGACCTCTTCTGTGGTTCACCCTACCTGCTTACATGATGCTATACATTTACTCCTGTTTAGTTCTCAAATCAATTTGTGACTTCATTTTCTTTTTTCTATTTCTTTTGTCTCCAGTCAGGTATTATGAATTTTTTCTTTTGATAACATGAAAAAATTTGCACAATGATCCAAGCCATTAAGGCTTGCATATTCTGAAGAAATTACGTTATCCTCTCCTCTTAAAATAATAATTAAATCAAAAAAATAAAAATCAGTAATTGTGAAATTTTTGCTCAGAATCTGATGCGAAACAGTTTTGATCTCTTTCAGGGACATCTGCAAACGCATCCTTGTGTCAAGGTTTTCTGCGTCAAGCACTTCTTTTCGGCAGATTCTTCCCGTTAGTTTGTTTAGATGGCCAAGGAAAGGCCTTCTTCCTCCTGGCCCTGTCAGCGAGGAGGACATCAATGAGATCATGGAGAAAACAGAGATGTGGTTCTCCGAGGGAGGCAAGTATCATGTCTCCCTTCCAATTCAGGGGGAAGATGTGGCCATCTGGCTTCTTGTATTGACTGCTTTGGATCCTGATGTTCAACATGGCTCTAAGTTAAGTGGTTGTCAAATCAACCCAGGTGGATGGTGGAGGCTAGCCCTATTGGTGAAAAACAATGTGATCCTGGGGAGTGCTTTAGATCCAAGGTGCTTTCAACTTCTTTTCTTAAATATTTTTGACACATGTATTAAGCTTCCATTAACTTGCACAATGTTTTCTGAAGATGTACTAAATTCTGCAATTTGGAATATATCGGTAGATACATCTGTATATCATAACTACATTTCAGTTATATTTTATCTACTTGCAAAATGATGTTTGAAAAGAATTTTGGCTAATTTGCATGTTTTTTTTTTGTGTTCCATCAAAAAAATGATATTTGAAACTTGGTGATGTCCTTGCCTTTTTGGTTTGTAATGTCTTGTTGTACGTACCCTTTTTCCCTATATTACTCCTTTCCTTTTCTTTTTTCTTTTTTTTTTGGG